TATATTTAATGTTTCTGTTTCTAAGAAGTTCCGTGATAGGCTTGAGAGCTCTTCGTGCTTGCAAGGTGTACCAAGAGAGGTCCGGATACACTTGTATGGGATTACCGTGGAATAGCAGCGGCTGCGAGGTGTATCTTAATGCTCTCAGTACGTTATCTTTAATAGTAAAATAGTGAGCCTGCAGATTATATCCCTAGGGGAGTCTTGGGATAGCCCTCTTGGGTGAAGAGAGCGGTGAGCCCTGTCCAGGAGTATTTGATTTTCATTTGAGTCCCCCAATATGAGATTAAAGAGCTCAGTAAGAATTGTTGCTAAATCCTCGTTTTGGGACTCTGGCACCCCCCTTATGCGCAGGTTGTTCCTTCGTCTGCGGTTATCAAGATTGTCGATGTGTCTCTGGGTAGCTGGCGTAAATTGTATATGTGATTCCAAAGTTGAGGATATATTAGTGATTTGAGCCTGCATGACATCTTTCTCCTCTTCTAGGTTGGTAACCTTGAGATTTAGTTGCTGGACTTCAGAGCCCATCACTGCCATTTTGGAGTGGAGTGTAGTTTCCAGCTTACTCATCATATGCTGGAGATCAGCTTTGGACGGTAAGTTTCTTAATATCTCTTTGATCTATTTTATGGATTTTTTCTGGGGTAAAGTGCCTCCGGGTTATACGCTTAAAATTACTCTCTTGTGCTGTTAATGAGGTGGTTGAATTATGTGCGGTTTTGAGAATAGGGTTCTTGTGATTCCCTAATCAGTGTATACATTGTAGAAAGGATTTTTTGTGGTTGGATGTGAGGAGCATATTTGTTTGAACTTTGTTAGGGGCCTATCTCCTTTAGGTAATAAGTGTTGGGTTTTGATAAAGTGTGTCAATTGGTGGTGATGCATTTGTTGAATTACGGTGTGTGTATGTGTTGGTATGATTTGAGGCAGGGTTTTAATTTTACCTTCTCGGACTACATCCCGTAGTTGTAGTGAGGTGCCTTTGTGGTAGAGATCAAACGACTTTCCTGAGTTCCCTTTTTGAAAGTGGGGGTTTTGTATAAGTGGGTATAGCGGGGATGGAAATGGTGATAGGTCTGTTTTTTTTTTCTGAGTTTATGCCATACTTTTAGAGTTGTGTCGATGGGTGGTTGTTGTATTGTCTCATTCAAGGATGTGCAGGATCTTGTTGGGACCAAGGGCTGATGTTTAAGGGCGTTGCTGATAAGGTATTTGTGTGCTTTTTGTCCATTCATAGATCCTCTGTAAGTGCATTGCTTTGTGGTATAGATCAATGTCTGGAAGGTTTACTCCTCCCTGTTCCTTACTCCTGGTTAGAGTGGCGTGAGCTAAATGAGAGGTCGTATGTGCCCACAAAAATTTAGTGAAAATTGATCTAATTGTGTTAAAGAATGTGCATGGGATAGCAACGGGAAGGGTTTGGAGGAGATATAGTATTCGGGGAAGGAGGTTAATTTTTATTATATTAATTCGGCATAGCCACCCAAAGTCGGCAATGAGTATATGGCATTTGGCCATTCCTGCCAACGAGGGCCAAAGCCAAGTTGTTGTATGGTGTGTTTTAGCAGTGCCCAATTAACCCTATCAAAGGCTTTTTCTGCATCAACGGCCAATAAGGTGCTGTGAATTTTGTGTGTTTGGGCCCAGTGGATGAGGTTGATGATATATGTGGTGTTATTTTTGGCTTCCCTGCACGGGACAAAACCTGCCTGGTCTTGGTGGATAAGGCCAGGCAGTAGAGGCTTCAGTCTTGTGGCCATGATTTTTGTGATAGGATTTTCAGATCGGAATTTATGAGTGAGATTGGTCTATAGCTGCCACATTATGTGTGGTCTTTTCTTGGTATTAATGTGATGATCGCCTCCAGTGCTGATTTAGGGATGCACAATGAGAGTTTTTGAGCGTTAAACACGTTGATAAAGGGTTGTGCTAGGATTTGGGACAATAATTTGTAATATTTCCCCGTGTATCTGTCTGGGCCCGGGCTTTTGCCAAGGGGGATAGTCTTGATTGTGTGGTGGAATTCGTCAATCGTAATGGGTTCGTCAAGGAATGCTGTTTCGTTGGGCGGGAGGGTGTGTTTGATTCTAGGCTTCAAGAATTCCAATATGTCTTGCGTGGTGGGTTGTGTGTTCGTCAAGTTGTATAAGTGAGTATAGAATTTATGAAATGCCCTGATTATGTCTGGCATGTTGCAGGTTAATGTGTCTTTTTCCGATTTAATTTCTGAAATAAAGCTGGATTGGCTTTCCTTCTGCAGTGATTGTGCTAGGAGTTTTCCCGCCTTGCCTCCTTGCATGTAGTAAGTGTTTTTTGTGAGGGATATTTTGCGCTTGGTATGAAGAGACAGAAGAGTTGTCAGTTCAGTCCTTTTAGTAAGTAGTAGTTTGTAATCCTCCATGGAGGAGGTGCTGTGATGTTTACTTTTTAGGGATTTAATGTCTTGAATAAGTTGAGAGACTTTTTGTTGTCTCTTACGTTTCAGAGATGAGGCTAATCAAATTAATTCCCCTCTGAGGACTGTTTTATGTGCTTCCCATGTCATGATTGGAGTTATGTCTGGGTTGGTATTTTCCTTAAAGTAGTTTATGGCCGTCTCTCGCAATTGGTTAATAGCTTCTGTGTTATTTAATATCAGGTCATTGAGTTTCCATTGTGTTGTAGGGTTAGGAAGCGTAGGGATAGTCAGTGTAAGTGTTGGCAGAGCGTGATCTGACCACGTAATTGGGCCATAAGAGGCTGAGTTTATTAGAGATAGGTGTCTGTGTTGGAGAAAGATTGAGTCAATGCGGGAGTACGTTCCTGTGGGGGGTGAAAAGAACAAGAAATCTTTCTTCATGGGGTGGATAGCTCTTCAGCTGTCATAAAGTTGGGCGTCGTATAAGGTGTTTTTTATTTGTATTCGTGATTGTGATTGGTAGTTTTGCAATGTGGTAGTGTTATCTAGATTCTCATCTAGGGAAATATTAATTTCACCTCCTATTATAAGAAATCCTTCTTGGAAAGCTGAGAGTTTACATAGTATTTTTTTGAGGGTCTGGGATTGTTTCTTTTTGGGTAGATAGATATTGGCCAGGGTAATCTGGGTGTTTCCTATTTTTCCTTTTATAAAAAGAAATCTGCCTGAGTCATCTACTTGTTGGTCTTGGAATTTGAATTGTGTCTGACGTCCTATGAGTATGGCTACCCCCTTGCTTTAGCTTCCCTGTAATGACTAAAATATCCCCTTGGGAAATCTCTGTTTTGTAATTTAGGGGGTGCGTTTTTGCTGAAGTGGGTTTCCTGAATGAAAACAATTTGTGTTTTGTATTTGCGGAAGTCTGATAAGGCTAGAGACCTTTTTTCCAGGATGTTTAAGCCTTTTGCGTTTTGTATGTGTATTGTTATGGTAGACATTGCTATTGTTAAGGGGTAGTTGTGGTATATAGGTTACACTTGATAGTGAAGTCGTGATGTTTGATGAGCTTATTAAGTAGCAGTATTCTGTGTTCCTAAGTGAGCTGGAGTGGTTTGGGATTATTTTGTAAAAGTGTGGGGTCGTGGTAGAGAGGTGTGTTTTAAAAGAATTATTGTTACCTTGCCTCTAGATGGGTCTGGGAGGTAGGTCACCTGGTTTAGTACTAGACTTTTGGCTGAGTAGTTAGTTTCATTGTCAGGTTGATGTTCCGGTCCAGATCTTAGTAATACAAGCAGTTTGATTGTGCGTCTGGTTTATGTTTCCTGGCACTTACGGTCGTAACCTTGGAGCAAATATAATATAATACAAAAACAGAACAATATAAATAATAGTAAAAACAGTATATCACAATGACAGAGAATCCGTAACACTCTACTTTGGGTGTGATGTAGGTTTGTGAGCAATGCTAAGATTGTATCATGGTTGTTTGTACCATGTGTCTATGTGACTTGCTTAGTCGCTGATTTAGGTAAGTAGTTCGTTAACTTAGAGAAGTAGATTTAGGGATAAGTATGCATTACATACACCGGGAGGGGTGAGTGGAGGGGTTTCCCTTAAGGGGAATTCAGTTCTATCTCGGCGCTAGAGAGAGAACCATAAGTTAATCGGGGTTGTGTGCTAAGAGGATATGCCTAGGACCCGGGGCTTATCGATCCTATTAGTTTATTCTGCCTTTAGGAGAGTTAGGTAAGCTATAAACAGATATGGGTAGAGGTAAGGGTGGTGGGGGAGGAGGTGGGGGCTGATGGGATATAACCTTTGTGGATGTTCAACTAATTTGGAGTTCATTAATTAAATTTTTTTTTTATATATTATTTATTTATATAAGTAACCTTATGTAACATTCCACCGTCTTCATGTGGTCTGAACTTTTAGCGTTATTCCGCTTAACTTATTCGGATGTGGAGCTAGCGATATAGTGAATATTGACCTTGTACTGTCAGTGCAGTCTGGTTACCCTTGGAGTTTTCTTGCTATCGTTAATAGTTGATATCGGTTAAGCACATTTGACAAAATTCAAGATTGTTGGTATGGTGGGACATCCTCGTTGTCATGGTAGGGGTTGTTAGTGTTTTGTTTGTGGGCCTACTACCTTTGAGAGGGTCTATGCATAAACGGGATTATAAATTTGGGAATACGGTTTACATCATTTAAGCAAATAAGATAAAAAAATAGATTGTGAGTAAAGAACAATGTAACTGTTAAAACAATATTTCTATGTATACGACCTGTGTATGTACATCTGCACTTCCCATAGATAGGTTTTAATGACCCTAATTTATTTCTTACTGGATCTGGTTAGAGTTGAGAAGTAGTCCCGAATCTTCTGAGGGTTGTCGTGATTATTGTCGCTTGCCTATCTGTGGGTGTCGAGGGTTGTCGCTCAGCAGGTGAGGTCCCCGTTGCGGGTGTCATTGAAGATAGCGGGTTACACAGGGTAACAGTTTGGGGTCCAACAAAAGTTGAGGAGGAGTTGTTGAAAAGTTCCAAAGTCTTTCCCGTAGGTTTAGTCCATATTGGTGCGGAGTTCAGGAGAGATTCTTTAATCTGTGGTGGTAATTCTCAGGTGGTTGTGGTTACTAGGCTGTCTCTCTCGTCTGAGATGAGGCGAAAGGAGCATGTGTCTCTGGGTAGCTGGCGTAAATTGTATATGTGATTCCAAAGTTGAGGATATATTAGTGATTTGAGCCTGCATGACATCTTTCTCCTCTTCTAGGTTGGTAACCTTGAGATTTAGTTGCTGGACTTCAGAGCCCATCACTGTCATTTTGGAGTGGAGTGTAGTTTCCAGCTTACTCATCATATGCTGGAGATCAGCTTTGGACGGTAAGTTTCTTAATATCTCTTTGATGTCTAGATCTGTATTGTTGTCCACTGATTTTAGTGAATATTCCAATATTTGAGGGCTTTGTGGCTGTATATCTTCGATGGATTCCATCTCCGCCATCTTGGAAGTCGCGGCCGTGGCCTCCGCCTCGCGGTCAGAGTTTTCTTTAAAATACCGGGTAAGAGAGCCCATTTTGGCGGTAGGGGTTTTCCCTGATTGCCCCTGTACCTGATGTTGTTTTTTGGGGTTGCCCATATTGATTAAAAGTCTCAGATCGTTGTGAATTGTGCCCAGGTCTGGAGGAGCTGAGTTAGAATGCATCCATCAAGCTCCGCAGCTAGCCACGCCCCCGTTTTGATGAGATTTTCATGTTATTAAAGCATCTTTCATTGAATTTGCTCCGAAATGTATACAGTGCCTTGCAAAAGTATTCACCCCCTTGGCATTTTTCGTGTTTTGTTGCCTCACAATCTGGAATTAACATGGATTGTTTGAGGATTTGCATCATTTAATTTACAGAACATGCCCACAACTTTGAAGATTTTTTTTTTTTTATTGTGAAGCAAACAACAAATAGGACAAAATAACAGAAAAAGTGTGCATACTATTCAACATCCCCCCCAAAGTCAATACTTTGTAGAGCCACCTTTTGCGGCAATCACAGCTCCAAGTCGCTTTGGATAAGACTCTATGAGCTTGCCACATCTTACCACTGGGATTTTTGCCCATTCCTCCTTGCAAAACTGCACCAGCTCCTTCAAGTTGGATGGTTTGCACTTGTGAACAGCAATCGTTAAGTATGACCACAGATTTTCTATTGGATTGAGGTCTGGGATTTGACTAGGCCATTCCAACACATTTACATGTTTCCCCTTAAACCACTCAAGTGTTGCTTTAGCAGTGTGTTTGGGGTCATTGTCCTGCTGGAAGGTGAACCTCCGTCCTAGCCTCAAATCACGCACAGAGTGGTATAGGTTTTGCTCAAGAATATCCCTGTATTTAGCACCATCCATCTTTCCCTCAACTCTGACCAGTTTCCCTGTCCCGGCTGCTGAAAAATATCCCCACAGCATGATGCTGCCACCACCATGTTTCACTGTGGGGATGGTGTTCTTTGGGTGATGTGATGTGTTGGGTTTCTGCCAGACATAGTGTTTTCTTTGATGGCCGAACAGTTCAATTTTAGTCTCATGAGACCAGAGCACCTTCCTCTATACATTTTGGGAGTCTCCCACATGCCTTTTCGCAAACTCAAAACGTGCCATTTTGTTTCTTGCTGAAAGTAATGGCTTTCTTCTGGCCACTCTGCCATAAAGCCCAACTCTATGGAGCGTACGGCTTATTGCCGTCCTATGTACAGATACTCCAGTCATATAATTAGTGAAACGATGTCCACAGGTGGACTTCATTTCACTAATTATGTGACTTCTGAAGGTAATTGGTTGCACCAGAGCTTTTTATGGGCTTCATAACAAAGGGGGTGAATACACACGCACATGCCAATTTTCTGTTTTCTATTTCTAAAAAATAGTTTTATGTATATATTTTCTCATTTCACTTCACCAACTTAGACTATTGCGTTCTGATCCATCACATAAAATTCAGATTAATAAAATATTGAACTTAAGGCTGTAATGTAACAAAATAGGTAAAAAGTCAAGGAGGGTGAATACTTTTGCAACGCACTGTATATGCACATTGTGATTCCAGTTTGTTTTATTTATATAAATTGCAGTTTTCTATTGCGGTTTTTACAAATAACCACAGGAATAAAAAAAAATTCTTGGTTAAGAGGCACAATTATTTCTGTCTGCATGTTATCTAGCTGTCGAGCTAAAGGGTAGTGAGGACAGCATTACAGTGGCTGTGATCTACTTGAACTTTGCTAAGTCACTTGAAATGGTCTGTGGATTACACATTGGCTGAGAGACGCATATCCAGCACAAATATAGTTCAAAATTGCAATCACACCTAAATGTGGGGAGGACCTTGCATCTTTAGTTCTCATCCATTAATTCTCTAATTACACAACAGATAATCTCAGCAATTTGTTTTTTTTATTTTTTACATTGCTTTATTAACAATATATCAAAATACCTGTAAGTGCTCAAGGGAGCAAGGGCATAGTGGGGCTGCTACATACGTCATGACATTGGACACTGAGTGGGAGGAGCATTCGACACAGGGCCGGACTGGGAACTAAAAGCAGCCCTGGAAAAAAATTCTATACCAGCCCAATAATGCGTCGCGCCAGCATAGTGTGCTGATATAGAGGGTGAAAAAATTACTTGAAATTGAAAACTCTTACTCCAGCGAAAGAACGCATATATGGGTTCAAAATTCTTAGCCCTAGCCACTTTGTCTCTTTCTCCTCTTTCAAATCTCATCTGTGTGTCTCTTTCTAACTCCAGACTCTGTGTGCCTCTTTCTCTTCTCCCAGCCACTCTCTGTTTCTTTTTCCCCAGCCCAGCGTTGCCTCCCACAAATCTTGTGTCACTTTGTTCCCCTTCCCTACTGTATGTCTCTTTGTCCCCCCAACAAACCTTCTGTGTGTCTCTTTCTCCCCTCTCCTCCCTGTGTCTCTCTTCCCCCTCTCCTCCCTGTGTCTCTCTCTTACCCCTCTGTCTCTTTGTACCCCCACCCCCTGTGTCTCTCTATTACCCCATATGTCTCTGTGTCCCCCCTTCTCCTGTGTTTCTCTATTACCCCTTTCTTTGTCCCCCCCCAACCCCTGTGCCTCTCTATTACCCCTCTGTCTCTTTGTTCCCCTTCCTGGTGTCTCTACTACCCCTCTCTTTGTCCCCCAACCTCTGTCTCTCTATTACCCCATCTGTCTCTTTGTCCCCCCAACCTGGTGTCTCTCTATTAGCTCTCAGTCTCTGTCCCCCCAATCTGGTGTCTCTCTTACCCTCAGTCTCTGTCCCCCCCAATCTGGTGTCTCTCTATTACCCCTCAGTCTCTGTGTCCCCCCTTCCCCTGTGTTTCTATTACCCCTCAGTCTCTGTGTCCCCCCTTCCCCTGTGTTTCTATTGCCTCTCTATTTGTCCCCTTCCCTCTTTTTGTTCCCCTTCCCCTCTTTTTGTTCCCCCTTCCCTTCTTTTTGTCCCCCCTTCCCTTCTTTTTGTTCCCCCCCTTCCCCTTCCCCTATTTTCCTATGTGCCTGCTGACCTTGTTACAGGAGGAGTGAGGGAGGGGGCGGAGCTAATTACCATGCTCCCTTGCAGTTCCCATAATTCCCAGCATGGACACATCATAGAGTAGTGATTACTCTATGATGTGTAGATGCTGGGAATCATGGGAACCGCGAGGGAGCATGGTAGTTAGCTCCGCCCCCTCCTTCAGTCCTCCTGTGCTGACAGCTATGCTGCTGTCAGTATCAGGGAGTGTGCCGCCGAATCGCTTAGGCGGCCACCCGGCACACTCACTGATACTGACAGCAGCATAGCTGTCAACACAGGAGGACTGAAGGAGGGGGCGGAGCTAACTACCTCAGAGTGTGCTGCCGGACCGGCCACCCGGCAGCACAACATGCGGCCGGTGGCCGCGATATTACTAAAATATAGGGAGCAGGGCTCCCTCTCTACATGCAGCCCCCCCAGGTGCCACGGCCCACCGGAAAACTTCCCGGTGTCCCAGTGGGCCAGTCCGGCCCTGATTCGACAGACTGGCAGATGATGGACTATGGCGTTGTTCAGATCGTCTACTTTCCCCTTGAGAGAACACACCCGACCTGTGAAAGATATGTCCCTAATAACATTAACGCCCCTTGAACTGAAAGGTTCTCTACTCCAAAAAATCTACAAATTGAAGACTAACTTACAAGGCCCGTGATATACCACTGAATGGCTGAGCAGAGTGGCCTCAACTTCTATGATAAAGGCAGACAAGCACAAGAGATTACTAGAATACTAGTTAACGTTGAAGGGTAAAATTGAGAAATTGAACAACAAAACAGTGAATAATAGAAAGGGGAAGAATACAGCACATATCACTGTTCTCGCAAAGGAGGGTAAAGCCCCGAGATATCTGCTAGTTATAGGCCGATTTTTTTATTGAACTGTGACTGCAAACTACTAGCCAAGGTCCTGGCGGCCCGCCTGAAACCGGCCCTGACATCTCTGATTGGCGCGGACCAAAGTGGCTTCGTCCCTGGGCGAGAAGCCGAGGACAACTCCATTTGACTCCTGAACAAGATACAACTGCTTCCATCCACTGCTCAGGGGTAGGAGCCATGGGCTCCACATGCCGTTCCCTGGTCGTCCTCTCCACCAACGTGTAAAAGGCGTTTGACCGGGTGGACTTGCAACTCATGCTCCTTACATTACAGAAGATGGGATTTGGAGAGACCTTTTGCCAATGGATTTGGGCTTTCTATTCGACATCTTCCGCGAGAGTCAATGGAGAACTCTCACCGTCAGTGAGGATTCAGAATGGCACCAGGCAGGGTTGTCCACTTTCACCTATTTTGTTCGTGGTGACACTAGAGCCATTCCTGGAGGCTGTTCGGAATAACCCCTCCATCCAACATGCTGGGTGGGAACACAAAATATCAGTGTTCACAGAAGACCTTCTGTTTTATTTGGAACAACCTCTAATTACGCCTCCAAATGTAATCAGTGAATTCCGAAAGTACGGCGCTTTAAGCAATTTGAAATTGAACTTCAACAAGTCGGAAGCCCTTAATATTACAGTCCTGACGCGAGGGCTATTAGACTAACACGAGATAAGGCCCAAGAGGTCATAATGGTGAACAGTAGCTTTGGAGCCAGGCATCAAGCTGCACTGGACCCAAGTTAGTTCTAAAGTGCTGGAGATATGTATGTTTCAGAATTGCTCATAAACATGTATATGTGCAGTATGTAATATGCCAATTGGCACATACTACCTTGTTACTTCTTGTCTGTAATTTCCTCTGGAAAACTTAATTAAAAATATGAGAAAGATTGACACAAAAAAAAAGAAAGGCCAGAATATGCGAAAATCTAAATAATTGAGGCTGTATGGAATGAGTTGCACTAAGATTGAGATATAATAATGGAATAAATTGGCTCTAACCTCTAAAACCTCACTAGATTCATGAAGGAACTCTATAACCTTATGTGATTAATTTGAAAATGTTAGCCTATCTGAATGCAAGAATATCGGAACTGTACAATATGACTTTCCAACTTTCATATGAAGTACTGTTTTGT